AGTGACTATTTGATAGTGTGAGTGTCGACAATTCCAATGGTCTCTTATTTTCTGGGAGAACTGCCTTACTGCAGTGTGTAGCAGGGCGTAATAAGATAGTGTTCCACACCGATACGCGAAGCATTTGTTTGTTGGCTAATGTGTGGATTAGTGTCTGCTGGTCGCGGATTTCATACGGCGTTCCATGATCGATCGATCGATTGCATTGGGGTGGCTCACATGTGGAGCGCAATCCTTGTTATTTACATTAGGAATTTTTTCTCCTTAGAAGACGTTCGGGATAAAGCGGTTAATTCAGATGCTGCAAAATATTCTCTGCACGTTCACATGCTTTCCGTGCTTCCAGCGAAGTAATATTAAAAACGCGCGGCGGGTGTAAAACAAAATTTTATTTTGAGTGTTACAGCGTTATAGAAAAGTATCACGATGAATGGTTGCATAACATAGCGCAGCTAGAGATTTAAGCTTTCGAATGGCCACTCAAACTTCTATGAAAGGTTTTATGTCCCAGCGATGCGAAAGAGATTGTTGCTTCATTTGTGATCCTTTAATTCGTGAAAGCTGTTATTCACAATATATTACATAATTTTGTTCTACTTCAAACCGCTATTCATAAAGTGAGTCGTTGTCGGAGGATTTCATTTGTGATAACACTAATGCTTTGGTGCTTGTGTGCGAGTCACCATTATAGATGTTCGCCTACACTCCTAAAAGAGAATGGCCCACCTCGCTAAATTTTGCTTAGTTTCTCCAAATCGCAATAAACTGAAATCATAGCAGAATGAGCTGAGTGTTAAAGAATTTGTACAAATTGTAGAGATAATTTCATCTGCAAATTTTACTAGCAATATGTTTTCTAATCGATAAACCAAGCTGTATCAGTATTAATTGTTAGATGCCATGCCACCCTATGCATGAAGTCCTTGATAAAATCTCTTTTGTGAACGAACTACTTGATGAAGACTATTTGAGATTCAAATTATGGCGATCACACGCCCTATCATATGCCTTATTACATTTGAGTGATTAGTCATTTGTCTATATATTATCTCAGATTTCTTTTGCTTGTTAACCTATCTCATCACCTGTATCACCTGTCGTCCCGTTGATCGTCGAGTGACTCGAGCGGGTACCAGCAAACTCTTCCATTTTTTTCCTATCGCGTGCAAGAGTAGCCCAGTGGGTCCTCCTTGCTCTAGGAATTCGCTGAGCATCATATCTTTCTTCCATCGCTTTCGTGAAGAAATCGGACCAACGGGTCAGTGGTCTTCCTTTAGAGCGCTTGACGTCCCGAGGAATCCAGTCGGTAACGGCTCTCGTCCATCGGTTGTCGTTGAAGCGCATCACGTGTCCGGCCCACCTTATTTTCGATATCCTGGCGTGCAGAACGGCGTCTCTGATTTTCGATCGTTGACGTAGGTCGGAAGTTTCGGTTCCTTTTGTCTCATTTGCGAAATACGAGATACTCCTAGCATCGACCTTTCGACTGCGCGTTCGATAACGGCAGAGTGATCTTTCATCCTGCTTACGTAGCGACCAGGTTTCTGCTGCATACGTTAGGACAGGGATAATTGTCGAGTCGAAAAGGTGGGCACGGAGTCGGATGTTCTTTGTCCTCTTCACTACATCTTCGATGCTCTTAAACGTTCCCCAAGCCGCTCGTTTTCCTCCTGCTCAACTCTGGGGCTAGGTCGTTCATCATGTTGATTTCACGACCTAGATAGATGTAACTGGAGCATTCGGAAATTGTCGTTCCGTTGAGCGTGAATGGGGCATTAGAACCCATCCGTTCCTCATGAACATTGTTTTCGTTAGATTCAGTTGAAGACCGATCTTTCCACAGGCGTTATCGAAATCAGTCAAATTCGTTCCGCTTGGCTGATGTTTGGTGTTATGAGAACGATATCGTCAGCAAAGCGAAGATGGTTTAAATTGTCGACCGTCAATTTTCACTCCCATTTCGTCCCATTCTAATGTTCGTATGACGTTTTTGTAGGGTGGCAGTGAATAGTTTTTGGCGATATTGTATCTCCTTGTCGAACCCCTCTTCTTACGTCAATGGTGATATTGTTGTAGAATGGAGATATTCTGGTCGTGAAATCTTTATAAAGCTCACGAAGGATCATTATGTACCGAGTAGCGACGCCCTGGTTATCCAGAGCCTCTATAACCGCTTCTGCTTCCACTGAATCAAAGGCTTTCTTCAGATCGATAAAAGTGAGACAGAGTGGTTGTTTGTACTCATCGCGAAACTTCAATGAGTCTTGTGATCGTGTGGGTGTGGTCCATGGTACTAAATCCTTTTCTGAACCCTGCTTGTTCGCATGGCTGTCCTTCGTCCAGTGTTCTGTCAATCCTGTTCAGGATGACTCGAGTAAAGAGTTTTATAGACAACGGACAGCAAGCAGATTGGGCGATAATTGCCTATGTCGTGGAAGGTCTCCCTTTTTGAACAACAATACGGTCTTGCTGGTTTTCCATTGAATAGGGACCTTGCATTCTGACAGGTAGCGAGTAAGAGCCGCAGGGTGTTGATGAGAACTGGCGGCAGGTTTCTTCAGGTGTTCTGGTCTAATCCTGTCTGGACCGGGTGTTGTTCTGTTTTTCAACGACGATATAGCATGTCGGATTTCGGAAGGAAGGACCGGTGGAACGACATATTCGTCCTCTTTTCAATTTATATGACGGTAAGAGAACATGGCTAGCCGAAGAGATCCGAGTAGTATTGGTGGATGCTTTTCTCCATAGCCCTTCTGGAAGCTGTAAGTGTCCCGTCAGGTATCAGAGTGCAATCATCTTGATCTTATAGTTGGCGAAGCCTCGCTGGGCTTTGCGAATGCTCTTCCCAACTTCTGCAGCTTCTGCCATAACTGCTTGCTCTTCTCTCTTTAAGGTCTTCTTTTATCGCTTCTCTGCATCGTTTTCGCAAGTTCGGACGTAAGGTTTCGGTTGCCTGCGGCTCGTGCGATTCCACGTTGACGTATCAGCTCGAGTGTCTGCGGAGAAAGCGTCTCTTCGTGACCTTAGGACTTTCGGCTTTCTTAGCGCCAACGTGAAGATATTCAACGAGTCGATCGTATTCTTCGTCGATGTTGTCGACAATGGTATCTTCCCAAGAGCCGACTAATGATTTGAATACATCCCAGTTTATGGTAGTTCTGGACTTCGTTGTTTGAATTTAGCGGCTCTTCTCTCCTCTCCTCGAAAATCGGAATGTTGCGCGAAGGAGGCGATGGTCTGATTCCGTGTAGAACTTGGGAACAACAGCGACGATCGGTCAGGCAAAACCTTCGATTTACTATGATGTGATTTATTTCGTTATGGTACTCTCCATTGGGAGACTCCCACGTCCATCGCCGAGAGAGAGGTTTTTTGGAACTGCGAGTTACCATGGATGGTTTGGGAATGTTCACTTGAAAAGCATATGTAATATTACTGTAGGTGACCGCTTCCGTAATAAATTGCAGCTTCGTGCATCAAATGGCAAGAGCTCAACATCAGTAAAGTATTTGAGTGAACAATGTTTCGATGGTTTGTATAGTGTTCTTACATCATAGACCATCGACATGGTTCATTTTAACATCAGTACGCAGTAAGTTGTGAAATATTATATGCCGTTGAACATCAAATTTGTTATTGATGTTTGTACAAGAACTGTCTCAAAACATTCATATAGTTGACTGTAGTCGAAAGTCGAGTGGTATAGAGAATATGAATATCGCCTTACACTTCCGTTTCAACAAACAAATCCTTTTGGTTTGACCAAATAATCAGCTGTGGAATTTCTCAAGATGCTGACTGACACTGTTGTTGAGCTTTTGATTTTTTCCCAAATATAACAAGAGCACCTGATGGACGTTGAAGTATTGTTGCTCTGTTTGAAAAAAGTTGATTTTTCCAAGCAGTGAAATGAGTTCGGACGCAAAACGCCAACATTTTCGGCAGTTTTTTGGTCTCGTTGCATTTATGATATTTTATCACTCAACGTAAAAGTATCGTGACACAATAATGTAGAGTGGTGTGCAAAAACATTTCGTTGGCCAGGATTCGAACCCAGATGTTACTCTTTCTGGGAGCCTGCACTGAACTGCTGCACCACTGACGCTCGTTTCGCACACGGCTCTTTCTACGCTACTAGAATGGAAAGAAAAGTTTCCAACGTTTTGATAAAATATTTAAATTTATGCATATATTCAGACAACAAACAACAATAACTATTCTTCGAAATACAGGGCACCATTATCCACAACTTTGCCATAGATTCGCCAGGTTTAGGATCTAATCGAAATACCACTTCTTCGGCTTGGAATCATAGAACTCTTGATATGCTTCTTCAACTTCATCGAAAGATTCAAATCGGCGGCCTTCCAAAAAGTGTTGCATTGATCGGAAAAGGCCTTAATCAAATGGAGCAAACGTCCGGACTATACGGTGGATGCAGTAGAGTCTCAACTTCGTCCAATTCCTCAAACTTTACTTGGTTTTTTTGGCTGCGTGTGGTTTTGCGTTGTCTTGCTGAAACAAAGCGCGCTTTCGACGAGCAAGTACTAGTTAGTTCTCGGCTAACTTGTTGTAAACTCGGTCCAGCTAGCCGTAGTAAAGATCGGCTGTTGATATATTTGCCATCAGCAACAAGCTCATTAAAGCAAAATCCTTTCAAAATTCCATCAAACGCATATCATGACCTTTCGGTGAAATCGAATTTGACACGATACGGATGGCGATGTTTGACTTTCGGAGTCCAACGATATTCTGCAGCAGATATAGAGAAATTATAAATCAATAAATGAGCAAGAAGTAAACCTTTCAAATGATATAAAAATCCACACAGGATTCATGAGAAAAAACGACATTCTTATCCAAACGATGGAAATTTTCTTCTAAACCTAATACAACGCGTTGGGTTCAATGTCGATAGCGACTGCCTCCGCCAGACCGTAGACGGTTGGCTGTGTGACAGATAACTCGTTGTAGCGTAGAAAGAGCGGTGTGCAAAGTGAGCGTCTGTAGTGCAATGGTTCAGCCACACGCTCCCGGAAAGAGTGAGATCTGGGTTCAAATCCCTGCTGACGCAAACGCTTTGCACCACTCTCTTCATCATTGGGTTTATTATAACATATTCCACCCGCAAAATGCGGCCAAAGGATAAAGCTCTTGGCGTTGATCAATCCTGAGGACTGCGCCATGCGCTCGTCTTCAATTTTCAATTTCGTTTGAGGTGATTAAACGCATATCTGGCCTTTACAGTGGCTCGCACTGGCCTCCCACTGAACCGATTCAGTGCTGCTTATCCTCCCAGACAAGTCTGAGAGGATTCTGGTACCAATTTAGCGACCCCGGAAGGATAAATGGCTTGGTGAGCCATAAAAGCGAGATGGAACCATTGACCTCGGTGCGACGCAGTGCACCTCTAACCACTGTGCCACATGCGCTCTATGAGGCTAAGTAAAATGTACTTTAATTGGAAGCATAATATGATGACCAAGGTACACGTAAGATGGAGTCTCCGTAATCAAAGATCCTGTTTGATATGCTCAGGTACGTTCATAAGAGTTTGATACGTCAATGTGACGACATAACAACTATCAATAACAAGAAGTAAGTCGAAGACAACTTGCAGAAGAGGATTACTTTATGCTGCCAACATTCTCAATGTAGTAGCAAATCTCTTCGCTGAGATTTGAGCTGCGAAAGCCTGCAAGATGTTGCGAGTTCCGACTAAATTTCAGAAGACATCGTTCGAGCGCTCTATGAGTTCTTCGCAGTGGGTTTGACGTGGTTGAAATCGTGGTTTTGAAGAAATAGAAATCCGAATTCTTCAATGTTTCTTTGCATAAACGATTCATGTGCTATACTTTACAGTTAGAAATGTGTTCACTGATATGCAAGCTGAGTAATATAAAAATCACTGAGGTAACTGTATCTAAATTTTTATTTAGTTATTGGATCTCAGCTTATGTCAGTCTCGTATTTTCTTTTGATCTCGGTTTGAAGCTACTTGTTATTGCTTGTGTTTATTCTTAAATGAATTCGCTCATAATATCTAATCATAAATGGAAGAAAAGATGGAAAGAATGGTATAAAGGTTCAATGACATCGAACAAGCGTTGTTAACTCTATCGTTCTGTTGTTTCGCGATTGCTCCTTTTTCCTCTGTTCCATGAGACTGCTCCTTTTTTATTTCTTTTAGGTGTACGATAGCTTATATGATCTCTCTGACGGGAGGCAATTTGAACGTGTTGTCGCTGTGACTGGCGGAGTGAAGTATGAATTCCTTCTTAATTTTTCTTACACTAATTACAGATCACTGTCACATTTTTAATTAAGGGATGATTGTTCATTTTTGAAGAGTTGCTCATGTCAAGAAACTCCTTTCCTTTATCTTTACATAATGATGCTTGATAATCCCTGAAAACAAATTCTACTAATTTCCCAATTCATTGCCGAGGACTAAGCACAACGGTTGAAACGGAAATTGGAATGTTGGTATCAAAGTATCTGATAAAGGCAAACAAATTAGATAGTCTTTTTTTTCTATATATCTTCCCGATCGACTAAGTTTTTGGATGGTGAGTTCTTACCGGATAAATAAATCGCTTCATTTTGATCATATACTACAAGGCTGTGAAAAAATCAGGTAATTAGGAGGTTGTTTTTATTCGTCTGCTTTAGCACTTTAGCGCTTCAGCACTTTATTTGATCCGTACCATGTGTTTTTTTCTCATATTCATCCCCAAACTTGGTCAAAAACGTATAAAGGCAAGTCACACACTCAATCATTACCAAGATCTGAGCCAATCGTCGAGTGTTTTATTTTCAGTCTTATCCACGGACCACAAAATCAGTCTTACGATTCAAGTGCTAGCTTTCCCGATAGTTTGAGAAATGATTTTTGTTGTTGGCTTGATGTGAAAGAACCTTCATAGTGCATTCTATCAACAAATTTGGTTTCGTTTTTGGAGCACATTGTTTCAACTCAACTAGCGGTTTTTTGCTAATACGTGGCAGAATTTTATCTAGACGAACTTTATCTCTGCGAAGGGATTGTAGAATTTGTGGGGAGTCTTCCATAAAAGTATCTTTAGTTGGACGAACTTCCAAATGTTTTAAAATTCCTCTTCTGAGATGTGAATATTATATCAAGGGATAACAGTGCTTTCAACACTTCTTGCACATTTTCTTGTAAAATAACGTCATCTGCATCGTGCAATTTTTAAAGGAAACTTTAGTGGAAATACTTTTGAGAATAACTTTCAGTCGACTATTGTCAGACCATGCGCAAAAAATGCGATATAGTCTATTGGAATATTTTAAACGTTTGACGACGTCTAATATGGCATCTCGGAGGTATCCAACCGTTTCGGCGTTCTTGCACGCCCTATCACTATCACAGTGCCCTACGGCTCCCCCTACTACTACTGAGGGGTGGGTGCCGAGAATTGTCCACTCTGCGTCATGTGAAGGGATTCACTGATTGGACGTAGGTGGCTTACGGCTATTACGGAAGCGCATGTAACGCCAGCTTTAGCATGTAAGCGGAGAAAGCGCTCATAGAGTTCGCAGTCTTCAGTACGAGTAGCACTTTTTTGAGAGAAAGTGCGCGTTCCTGACCTATATTTCTTTTGCTCGAATATGTGCTCAATAATCAACAACTTATCACTCAGCCTTGATCAAGTGCAGTCAGTGTAGAGAATAGGGAATCCCGAGAGGACTGGCCAAAGACGAAGGGTTCTGCGGCGACTGACGAGACAGTCAAGGTCAAAACACGTGTGTCGGGCTGTACAAGAGCCCATTAAGAAACCACATTACTTCTCATTGTTAATATTTGTTACGTAAGCTCAGGGACGTACCAACCTCGAAAAGGTTTAAAGCTTCCTCACAGACAACAGCTACAGTCGTTGTGCTTGCTACACGTGCTCCAGAAAATGTGTAAGGCGTATTTAACCCACAGCGATGATGTTGCTTGGTTTGTGGCCATTCACTGCAAGATCGGCTGTTACTTGACCGCAAGGTTTGCGCAGATTATCTCTACATCATAAACTTGAAATAAGAACGTCTAGTGACATATGTGATAAAGTGGTCACTTTGTGGCATTTTATTCTCACACTCATCAAAGCTTATTCTACTGACGTGAAACTAACTGAGAACTAATCTGAAGCATTGAGCACTTTTGGTCTGAATAGCAAGAGATTCTTCTTTGTAAATCTTGCTCATCTATATGCTTTGATTAAGAAAAAATAATGAATACAGGGTTGTTGATCAGTGTTACGAGCATGGAAATGAGTCGGGGTCACCAGGTGGATGATCGCAACGTACAGTTAGAGGTTATTCTCATAGGAAAAGATACATGCTGGAAACTGGCAGACGCTTTTGTTGAGGTGAAGCTATAGAGCTTTCGGAGCTGGCAAATTCTTTTGCGAAACACAATGCATTCAAGTTCAAAGGCATCGTTAGAGTGATTCAATGAATGAGCTATGCAATAACTCGATGCCGGACCGACTGTCGTAGCACTGCTAGCCGCCAAGAAAAGTCTGCTATCGACATTAGACCCTGGAGAGTCGAAAAGTATGATGAACTTAATTAGAGAAAAAGTAGTTTGTAAAACTATCTAAGAAGACACTTTTGAACGTGATTAGCAAGAATTTTGCAGTGCAACTACCTGGAATTGGTGAAAAATCTCAAAAACAAAATTTTTGGAGAAAAACTAGTGTAGATAATCACTAAGCTAAATACTCGCTAGAAAAAACCTTTTTATCCTTCAAAAAAAGAGAAGCAAGATTTAAAGTGAATCAGAATATAAATGGAGTTTATTTATAAGATAAAAGTTTGTTGAAGTACCGCTGACCAGAATGAAGAGAATTTCCGAGAAAATGAATGGAATGTTATGCGATCGATCATGGATCATTGACTCTGCGCCATCCATTAGCTCGGAATTGCTCCTATGATCATTATGTAAGGCAGGAAACTGTATGACCTACGCTCACGACAAGGTCGAAGATTGTCTGAGGCGCATAAAGCATCATGTTAATGATTTTTAAGTGCGTCACGATATTTATGCAGGTCAAGAACCTAAACATGCAAAACTCTTGAAACATTGCGGATAAATTGTAAATACCTGGAAGTAAATTCAAAAGATTAATGCTAAACTATCGCACCAAACCTGGCGCCTTTTTTCGGATTGGTTTTTCGAAATATGTGTTTCAGTCGCTGTAACACGTGGATCGCATATGGGTGACCTGATGTTTCGTAACAACGTTCCGAGTATTTTTAGGAATCAATTTTATGACTAATTGGGAAAGTAACAGAATCCAACAAATTAAGAATAGCAATGGAAAAATTGACTTTTCTAATTTGACATCAGAATTCGATCACATATTCATTGGTGATTGAGCGAAAGCACGAAGTTTGTCCAGGAAGACAAGGCGAACGTCTGTGGAGCATCGCCACGCATCAGTCGGAACGTCAGCTGAGAAATAAATGAGTTTTATCAATCTCGTACTTTCGCTCAATCACCAAAAATTATGTATATGATTAGGTTACATGGAAGTACATCCAGGCGTTAAAGAAGACGAATTTGCTAAAATGTTAGCCATAGGATTAGAGAGCTTGCAATAATTACCTCACGTCAGATAAGCAAAGACAATTCCTAAGACGTGCAAAAATTGATTTACAAAAGCTGAGACATACTGAATGTGGGCCTTCATAAAGTAGATAATCTGTTGGACTAACCTTCGATTAACTTTGTTGATTGTCAGTACGTTTCTATGATGGTTAGTGGTCAACATTTCGGTAATTGCGTTTCTTAAAGTCTCTTTCGCCCAACTTTGTGATTGATTCAGTCTTTGAGCGCTCTGTTCTGTAAAAGAAACGCCGGGTGGCACTTCAACCTAGTTAAAAGTTTGTGCACCACTCACAGAGTGAGTAAGTGAACTTTGCTGAAGTTCAACCGACACTCTAACCGTCTAACCGAAATTCGCAGCTCAGATCGTCGGAAACCTGTCTCATCTGCAGTGTCCGGAAAAATGTACATCGATAGTGAAACATAGATGGGCCGATCGCACTGTAAGAAGAGCA